GTCACTCACTTGGCACGTCCGCGACAGCATTGCGAGGTTTTGTTTGGTAACGGGGAGTGTCAGATATCCATGGCCACTCAAACCGAAGCAAGAACCACAAAAAGGCCATACCCAACACTAACACAACAAGAAGCCGAATCTGTGACCATCGACAGAGGGGAAAATCTACCTGACCCACTACGCATTCATCTATGGCATCACATAGGATACTGCTTGGCTGGGCGATAGGTCCAAAACTACTCGGAAAGGCGAGTTGTGGAGTGATTCGAGCTGCACTTGCGCACAACACCGAACAACTCGTTGTACAGAAGCCTTATTGGATGCTCACCACAGCTCAACCGCTAGTAGCAGTAGTAGTAGTAGTAGTAGTAGTAGTAGTAGTTAGTAGTAGTAGCAGTCGCAGTCGCAGTCGCAGTAGCAGTAGCAGTAGTAGCAGTAGTAGCATTAGTAGCAGTAGTAGCAGTAGTAGCAGTAGTAGTAGCAGTAGTAGTAGCAGTAGCAGTAGCAGCATCAGCAGTAGTAGCAGTAGTAGTAGTAGTAGTAGTAGTAGTGGTGGCGGCGGTGGTGGTGGTGGTATGACATACCTGTAGTACGTCTCCTCCTGCAAATTGCATAGGGTTTCCAGAATTTCACTGGAAACTACGCTGCCGCTTGTTGCCCTTTCCTGCCAGTCTGCCTGAAACCAAAAGTCACAGCAGCAGCAGCAGTAACCACAACAACAACAACAACCGCAACAGCAACTGAGGAATTAAAACATACTGGCGATGGCAACTACATTTGCAATGTCATTTACACTTCTATCAGCCAAAACTTGTGCAAGTGCATCTCGTGCCGACTAATGGATGAAACGGTCCACTCTTTTTGGTCTTGGCCTAGCCTGGTGATGTCCGGCTCCAGAGTGTAAACCGTGCAAGCGATAAAAATCACTATCGTAGGTCCCATGTCTGGGAGCCGATGGTGTTCTTTGCCCACCTCGAAGACCAAATGAGCGACGCTTGAATTCTTCTGTAGCACACCATGATGTGACAGGACTTCAGCGAAAGAAACTGTACATTCGTTTCACGAGTCATTTGCGTAGCTCTGTTGGAAGGCATCGCTTCGGAGCTCCCCGAAGTGCCTCTCGCTACTCAGGCGGCAATTCGCTTCCGAAGCACCTGGCTTACTCTCATTAGAAAAAGGGCTTTGGGGTCTATGTTACTGCTTTGGTAGGAAGTAGCAGGGATTGCTTGTTTGTACTATTTCAATCGTTCTTCTAGTTTCGTGCTTCGGGATGTGGCACACATGAATCACCTCTCTACACTCTGATCTACTCCGGGGAACTTCCTCATGCTTAGCTCATACTTTGTCTCTGCTAAGTCATAATTTTCCCTGGTGTTCTGTGCTATCTTACCGCGTGCTGCTCTTATACTATATCTGCAACTGTAGCTCAGGACATCTGTAGACATATGCATATGCAAAGGTACACGGTCGCAAGAGCTGAAAGGTTTCAAAACAAAGCAAGCCAAGCCAAGCGATTTAACAGGTATGTATGAATACATGTATGTGCGTATGTATCTTTGTATATGTACGCGTATTCACGAGCACACACGTATCTGTTAATGGCATCCAAGTTGTTCTAGCAAAAGCTGCATGCCATGGTGGTACACATACTTCGTTGCACTTTGTTACATTGCACTCTACTGAATAATCCTGTGGGGTGTAGTGGGATGCTGAGGCATGCTGTCTGTTGCCAAACTATGCATCTCGGAACTGCCGGGTAAAGTGCGGTTGATGTTGGTAGCGTCGGTTGCCTGGGCGGGAAAGAAATCATCACTGGTAGCAAGCAGAATCCAATTTTCGTCCAGGGGTGTGTTCGAGTGTCAGGGCACCCTGTCGCCCAGTATTCGGGCAAGCAGCATGGCAGGTCGCGACTGCACAGGATGTCTGAATTCCAACACTGCACCTCTTTGAGGGAGGCCTGGTTTGCAGCAGAAGCGCAGAATCTTGCAAGTGCAAGTAGTATCGAGTAGGTGGAGTGAAACTTCTGTCAGTGTGTCGCTGGAGGTCAAACACTTTCAGACAGCTGAAAATTGTGCCGGTGCCTCATGAGTCGGGCTTCAATTACCCTGACCCGGCGGTGGTTTCAAAGCGGTGAAACAAGCCGCTTCACCCCTGATGGGCAGATGCCTGGTCCGTGGCCCAGCCTCAAGAGGTCAACGGAGCGTGCTGTTCGAGCAGCTAGTCGGACAGTAGCTCGGTAAACCACTGGGCAAAGTTGCTCCGCGGCCATCTCTGCAGCCACACTGCACTGGGCACACAGAGGCTAAAGGGCGAAACAGCTCCGGCTGGCCGTCACACCAGGAAACGCCCGTCAAGAGCTCGGTCGGAATTGTCTCCATGACCGGGCAACCGTTAGTCAGAAAGGCCTGGGCTGTAGAATTTATGAGACCGAAGAACTGGGTCTGAGTGACACCCTCTCCATAGTACCCGATGAGTGCATCGTCATACTGATGCCAGAACGCCTGCCAACCGGCATCGTTGATAACCTCTGTTCTGGAGTATGGAGTTTATAGGTTCATACATCGAAGGAGTTGAACGTTCCCTATTCCGAGTTCGCACCGCAGGATTTGAGAGGTTGGAAGGGTTTCATGCATGAAGGCGCGTAAGGAGTTGAAAACGACTGCGGGCCCTTCAAAATTCAGGACCTTTGGGTGGCGAGAGAGGTAACCGTGATTTTCCAAGACCTTATATTCGAAGTCGCAGTCGTCAAGCGGAATTTAGAGTTATGGGTACGTGGGATTTGACTCGGAGTTGCCGAAGAAAAGATGCTCATTTTGGCCCTAATTGTTTTTATGCACAAAACTCAACTACTAAGTCACTACCCTGTTCAGGAGTTCCTACACCAAAACCTTTCTCATAGTTTCTAAAGTTTCATACTTGCCCCAGATGTTTAAAGTCCATACATCCGAAACTAAGTACAAGCCAACATCATCTCTGAACCCGGGATCCTAAAGCCCTCCATGAAGCTCACTACTAATACTAAGTAAGATCATCTCTAGACACTAAACCCTCCATTAAGCTCTCTCCTCAGACTAAGTAAAATCATCCCTAAGCCCTAAACCCTCTACGAAGCTTACTTCCAGGAAACATCATCCTCGCAGGAGACACTTGGAAGCTTCGCCTCGGCTTCGGCGAGGCACGGCGTCGCACAGCCCATGTGCTCCACCTTGTACCTCTTTGCAGACTAAGTAAGGGAGCTCCCTGACTTTTGACTCTCACAACTCTGGGCTTGTTTTTCCCACTCTGGGCTTATAGGGTTTAGGGTTTAGCCTGGGGACAGGCAACTTTAACATACTATGATTATAGTTTCATGTGCCCTGCAACGGATCAGCTTTGTTTGCTCAAGGCTTCGGGGGACCCTTAGCCAGTCGATCAAGATGTGCAAATTATGAGTTAGCCTGCCTCAGCATGCGACACGACCGACGACCTCTACAATAATTGTTCCACACCCCTTAATAAGAAGGGCAAAGGCGATCAATAAAAGAACAGCTCGTTCAAACCACCATGGTACCAAGCGGAAGTTCGGGGTTCGGTGCAGCCGCAGGTCTGACCACAGACCACTCGGAGGAGTCGGGCATCTGACATGCTGCACAAGTCAGCCAGCTCTGCACAGGTGGTAGCATCTGGTCGCCCAAGTGCTGACGCAGCGTTTCGCAAAACGTTCTCAATGATCGGCTGCAAGGCAGCGTCTCCATGCACCTCCCCAGTCTCCAGTAGGACGGTGGTCTCCATGCAGAATGGAAAGACGTTCCCAAGACTGGAAATCGACCGGTCAACGTCGGTGTCGAAAGAACGCCTGTCGGCTGCAAACCATATGGTCTGAGGCCAGGTCTTTTCCAGGCTTGAAGGCGTACCCTTTTGAGACATCACCGATCGTTCGATGGGCGATATCTCGTATGAGTTTTGCACTGTCTCGAGGTCCTCATCAGTGGACCCAAGCCCAAGTTGGAAGCATTAAGAACTAAGATCGAGCCAGAAACCAAATGCAGAATCACCCGACCCCATAAGATGTAAACCCACGTCCTCAGTGAAAAGGCCCCATGAGATCTGCGTGTCCGTGCTGTACGCGACCACGAAGTCTGTCTGGCCATCGCACAGCTCGCGCTTGACAGCCATCATGGTGTCGCAAAGAGGCACGAGCAGGAACAGATACGAAGCCAACACCGTTACCACCACTGCAAGGAAATGCACCATGGACTCCATCTGGCTGCGCCGGTGAGAGTAACTAACTTTGATGGGCTCGACACTTCGTATCGCGTGCTGGATCTTGATTGGCGTCATGCCCTCGAAGAGGAACTCATCCACATCCAAGATGGCGTTCAAAGCAACCGAGTTCAGCATCAGCTCCTCAATCGATGTTGTCCTTGCCAGCCATAGGATTCCGGCAACCAGAAGCACGGAGGCGATGCCTGCTCGAACGATGTACGTGATCAGCAGTGCCAGGGCTCGACCCCAGGACAGGCTGTGAATCGTGTTGTCGCGGAAGTCCGTCGTGCTGGCCTTCAACGAACGACCCTGGGTCCTAGGTAACGAGAAGCTGGGCACACAGATCACGGATCTACGTATACAGTGATGCGAATCGAAGTCCTGTTGTGGAAAAACCCCGTTCAAGCAATAGTAAAAGTAGAAATCATAAAAATAATAGTAGTAACAATAACGATAACAACAATAATAACAATAACAAAAAACTTGCAATCGTCGTCATCATCGTCACTATCATCTTCATCAGAATCACCAGTCCTAGACAGAACGCCTGGCCTTGGGGATTGTCGTCGCCGCCTCCAAGGCATGCCAAATCCTTCTGAACTCCTCTCGAAACTGCTTATCTTATTGTTTCGACTTTAGGGTCCAGTATCCTGGGGAACTAAACTTAGCCTTTGGGATGATATTGGGATCGTACACTAGTACCCCAAATGGGTTAAAGGTTACCTACTCTACTACCAAGATATTTTCCCACCTGCTGACCAAGTCCCATCTCACGTGGTGCAAGTCACAAGGTCATAAGCACTTCCCCCAAGTCGACAGGCATACCAACCGCGGAAACCGGGCAGAAAAAGAGCGAATTTTGGCTGGGGTTTGGGTCACGGGTGTTGGTTTTCGACTCTCACAGCTTGAGGCTTTAAACATGTTTAAGCGATTTGCATCGTCTAGCTGCTCAGCTAATGGCATGGCATGCAAACGGTGCACGCACCACAGCTTTTTGGGTTCTGCACTAGTTTATTTCTGGACTGGTTCATTAGGAGTGAAACCCAGTGTCCTTGTAGACGCACAAGCTCCACAGCAGAATGCACAGCAAGCACAAAAGAGTGCCCGGCTGAAATAAGTTGAACTCAAATTCGCCCGTTTGCAAGCCCAAGAAGTCGTTGATTTGCTGAACAAGCGTGGCCTGCACCGTGGAGAGGATTAAAGACCCATCGCCAGCGCACACGCGAGAAACTAGGCTCGTTCCGGCCAAGTCCAGGTAACGAGAGTCATGAGCTATGCTTGTCCGCCATGTCTTGGCACTCTGCAAGTTCGTCTCGAACGGCTCACCCATGAAGTACTCCGATAACAGAATCTGCGAAAACGACCCTTGCATCAGCAGGTTCAAGAGTACCAGAAGCACTGCAAAGACGTTGTCAAACCAGCCCACATCTGCGAGACCAAGGACCAACGGGATGTTCCATGCACGCTCCTCGAAGTGCACAAGTGTAGATCTGCCTTCCGTCTTCACAGAGCCAACCTTTTCGGCTGAGCTGTTCGGAGATGCATCTTGGAAGTTCGGATTGGGTATCTCCGAAAAGGCAAGCTGCTTTTCGACTGTCCCCAAGCGAGCCGTGATGCTTTGGATCTCTGCTTCGAACTGCTGACGGAGTCTCTGCAGCCCTTCTTCCACCTCTTGAATGTGGCATCCGGGCACCTCGATGGCAATGCTCCGGAACTCGGATGCCTCCAGGTACTCCTCTTCCGGGTCCCCGGTCACTGGCCGGTTGCTCCCTGCGCCCCGGATTGCCGGGGTCGGCATTGCGGAGAGGGTGGCCGGACAATGTGCTAGACCTGGAGCTCATGAAAGCCAGCACCTGACCCACTGGAAAAGTTTGCTTCAGAGTTTTGCAGTCATCCACCAAGCTCTGTTTCACATCTTTTTACATATCTCTATATATATATATGTGAAATTATCCCTATTTACTTATATGTATCTATATTTACATGTGCATTTATCTTTGTATCTTATTTACAGTTGCATGTCTATGTGTATTCAGATTTGTTTACTTGTTCACGACGTATTTATTCGCTTATCCGTAAATTTACTTGCTTATGTATCTACTTTTCATAGACATAGATGTTGAGATAGGTGTATATATATGTAGAGCGATGCAGATAGAGATAAGGTTAGAGGTAGCGATAGATGTAGACATATATATTTTTTTTTATTTATTTACTTATTTATGTATGTAGAGATAGATGCAGACATAGATAGAGATAGAGATAGAGATATGGATAGAGACGTCGATAGAGATAGATGTAGACATAAATATAGATACAGGATGTACGTATCGAGACAGATGTGTACATATAATTATTTTTTACGTCTAGATATATAGATATATAAGTATAGGAACAAACAGATATTCAGACAAATAGATATAAAGATATATAGAGATACCGCTGTATGGATATATAGATATATAGATGCACAGCGAAACAAATACACAGGTTTCCAGATATAAAGGTATCTAGATATCTACAAATCTAGTTAGAGAAAGCACACCTATGCCGCATGCATCTGTGCATGTACTCAAGTGGGGATGTATGTATGAATGCATGAATGCGTGCACATATTAGTATGTGTGCGTCCAGTGTATTTGTGTCTGTATGTCTCTCTGTCTGTCTCTGTGTGTCTCTTCTGTCACAAAGGTGTGGTAACCGGTGAAGGGCTTGTGGCCCCTCTCTGTCTGTCTCTCTGTCTCTGTCCCTCTCTGCCTGTCTCTGTCTGTATCTGTCTGTCTATGTGTGTCTCTGTCTGTCTCTGCCTGTCCCCCTCTGTTTGCTTGCTTGCTTGGCGGTTGAGGGGAAAAACCCCTCCGGCCCGAAGGCCCCCCCCCAAGGTGCGCACGGTGGTTTGTCTGCGTGGCCCCTTTCGGGGGTGGGAGATGAGCACCTTCCCTTGAATGAGCCTGTTAACCCAGCCCGAAGCACACCCCTCCTAAACCCTGACCGTGAACAACCAGCAGGTTTCACTCAAGTCATCCGTGGTCTCCCCAACCTAGGTGGTGTTCTTCTGAGAACCAGGGCAGTACCCACGGTGATACAAGCAAAACGACGATTACTTCGTTGCCCCCCTGACTCTGCTAGTATTGGAAGGGTGTTAGCCCAGGCCAGCGATCACGAAGAACCACAAGGAAACAAGCAAGTTATTGAACCACTGTGCTCGGCCTGCCCTCTTCCCGGGAGTTGCAGGAGCTCCACCCCAACTTCCATGACAGTTCTTCGCGAAAAACCCCGGCCTGGCCTGCCTCCCCACCTCATCCCGAACAGAAACCTTGCGCAACACTGCCTGTGCCTGCCCACCCCCAACTCTGAACCTCACATCGCCGTTTTTGCGGCGTTGGCTTAGCGGCCGCAAGGGAGTGTTGCTCACAAGTCGGGGAACAACCAGCAGGCTTCACTCAAGTCATCCGTGGTCTCTCCAACCTAAGTCGGTGTTCTTCTGAGAACCAGGGCAGTATCCACGGTGATACAAGCAAAACGACGATTACTTCGTTGCCCCCCTGACTCTGCTAGTATTGGAAGGGTGTTAGCCCAGGCCAGCGATCACGAAGAACCACAAGGAAACAAGCAAGTTATTGACATTGAACCACTGTGCTCGGCCTGCCCTCTTCCCGGGAGTTGCAGGAGCTCCACCCCAACTTCCATGACAGTTCTTCGCGAAAAACCCCGGCCTGGCCTGCCTCCCCACCTCATCCCGAACAGAAACCTTGCGCAACACTGCCTGTGCCTGCCCACCCCCAAACCCTGAACCTCACATCGCCGTTTTTGCGGCGTTGGCTTAGCGGCCGCAAGGGAGTGTTGCTCACAAGTCGGGGATGCAATCGCAAGGATTCCAGACCCTAGTCAAGGACGTTACTACAAGGCAGAACACCTAAGCAGCAGATTCCCTTGCAGCGCTCCTCGACTGTGTTTGCAGTCCCCCTTCCCCGTGCTGTTACAAGACGACGGCAGGACACAGGCAAACCACCTAGAGAGGCAAAGCAAACTACGTTCGAAACAAAACGATCGCCGGACTCAGTCGTCCTGGTCCATGTCTTTCTTTCGTCAGGGTTGTGGGTAGGGGAAGTTCCCCCACCCGCGCGCTCAACGGCGCTCCCGCTTGTTGCGGAGGAAGAGAGTGAAGCATACACGCGCCACAGAGGCTGATATCGCCATTGGTAGAAATGCGATCACAAACAAGGGGAAAGCCCCCGACAAAAAGCCCAAGTCTAGTAACGAAGGACAAACTAGTTGGCGATATCATGGCTCAGATTGCCCCCGGAAGCGGATGTTTTATCCCTTCCCTGGATTTCCTTGGGTTTCAAATGCTGGAAAGCAAGAAACAACAAAAAGCAGAATATGACTCCTCAAGAAGGCTAGCTACGCATGAAAGACATCAATACTAGGGCATCCATCGGGGCATCGCGCGTACTGGAAATGTGACTTACATGCCATGGAGTTGTGGAAACAGGGTAATGGGACCAACCTTGAACAAACACTATGCAAAAGGCGACATCATCTAAGTGTCCAACAGCCGGCACGCATGTCGTGGCTTCAAAATGCCAGGCTTGACGAGGGCAGCAACACAGAACAGACTCGAAACAGAAACAGACATGTGCAGCAACTAATACGTAGCATCAGCTTCATGGCAGATAGCAAGTACCTTCGGTTCGGGAAAGTATTTCGGCTTTAGGCTGGAGTTCAGAAGCTGGACAAGGAAGGGGAATTCCTCCCCTTTCCCAGGGCCGTTGCGGCTCAGGCGCTCAGTCCACGCTGGAGTCGTTGGAGTCAGCCATCACCGCAGCAAACCTCCTTCTTCGATGGGACGAGGTTTCGTCTCTCATCTCCACGGGGAATGTTTCCCCCGGCACGGGAGCTTCGTGCCCTCCTTCCACTGCCGGCGTCACGGGAGAGAGCTGTCCCGGGGCAAATGCATCGCCCCCAGCGTTCCCTTCAGGTGTGAGGACATTGACGCAGTCGCAGCCGTGTCGATGATCAGGGTCTCCGCTGCGCTGAAGGTGTCCTCGTCCACCAGCTGGATGGGGTGGTTCCAAAGGGCAGTGGTCCATTGCTCCAGGAGGCATGGGCCTCGTTCAAGGGGCATCTTGCGCTTTGAGGATGTTGTAGGGGCCGGCCTCCCCTGACATTGTTGGAGGGCGATCAGCTTGTTCATGTACTCGATGCTCCTCCTAATGGCGTGCAGGGCGATAGACGAGTACTCCCCCACCTGGACCACGGAGCCTTCAGTGACTGCAAGATGCACCCAGTCTAGGGCATCGAGGGCGTTCTTGACCCCGGCTGTTCCTTCATGTGCACCAGGAGCTCGGGGGTCCTTCCCCCATGCTTGGAACAGCTGTTTCGCCTCCACAATTGTTTCAGAGACGTAGTCTAGCACCTGGAAAATGTCTCTGTCCGGGAGGTTGCGGTGGTTTTGCTCCAGGTTGGTCAGGGGCTTCTCGACGGGGAGGAGGATGTTCTGCAGCGGCTCCATCTCCCCATGTGCTCGAGGATGCCGGTCACCGGGGTCACCCCCGAGTGGGCATATTTGTTGCAGGCCCGCAAGTTTGTCGAGGTAGAAGGCGGAGAGGTATGCAAGGTCCGTAAGTTGAGGGTTTGGCTGTGTGAAGGACCGGTGCAAGAGGTCCTGTAGTAGTCGCTGAAGTGCTCGGACGAGTTTCTCTGCCGATTTGAGGTCTTCTTCCGAAAGTTGTGCCTGATTGGCTGCAGGTGTTGTCGACGAACTCGGTGATGTAGATGACGCTGGGGGTGCTTGATTGCGTCTGCTCGGCGGAAGGCGCTGCATAAGCGAGGTGGCGTCATGTGGGCCCGTCGCACATGGTCGATCTTCGTCGGGCCAGCTGGTTTCCGTCTCATCACCTGAGTCAGGTATCGGTGGCGGTGGCTGCTGTGGCGGCGTTGTCCCAGTGGCGGCCGCAGGTTGTTGTGCTTGTAGTTTGGCATCAGGAATTGGTAGTTGAGGAGGTGTCGAGTGTTCTGGGTCCTGGAGTGGTAGAGGTTGTCGGGCCGGGGAATCCCGAGGTTCTTGATCTCGTAGGCTCGTCATGTGGGCTGTACTGGCAGGTTGTGGGTGTGGTTGATGTTGTATGGGCTCGGGCGGGATGTCTCACAATTTGCTGGTGAGTAGGGGCCCACGCTGTCCCTCTCCACGCCCCTGTTTCCGTCCCCCTCAAGGACAGAACGCTGTGGGGGCTCACCGGAAACTCAGGTGGTAGGGTTGAGGGCATACTCCCCGCTAGCCACGAAAGGTCTTGTATGTTGCCCCCGGTGCGAGTGGAGCTTCTCATCGTGTGACTGACATCCAGGATTTGCCATCTCGGGACCATTCCTGCTGCCACTGCTTGGTCTGCTTGTTGTTGTAGGTCTGCGAGTCCGTGGGAGTGTTCCACGTATCCTTGAGGTTGTGGTGCAGAACCATTAGAGGAAGAAGAAGATGTCTTAGGGTTCGCTGTTAGCGCTGGCGGCTGGTGGAAGAGCGCGTCTCCAGTCTGGGCTTGTTGTTGAGCTAGTAGTCGAGGATGTGGCTCCCCGCGTCGGTGTTCTGGACGGTTGTCAACCACTTGCACGGGGTTCCTCGCTATGCCATCTCCTTTCAGCTGGACAGCTGTACTGTTAGACAGCTTCCTCCAGACGTTCTCCCGCCTGATGGGCGGGGGCGGATGCTCACGGTGGCCTGGCGGTAGGTTGAACTGCACTCGTCGTGCGTCTTGTGGAGCAGTTGTAGCTGTAGTCATGTGCTGAGGTCCATGTCCCTCTCTGTCTCTCTCTGTCTCTTCTTC